ATCGTATTCGCACTGAAAATTTGGAGGCACTACCTATACGGAGTGCAATGCAAGATCTACACAGACCATAAAAGCCTAAAGTACATCTTCACCCAGAAAGACTTAAACATGAGACAACGAAGGTGGCTAGAACTCATAAAAGACTACGACCTAGGCATTCAGTACCACGAGGGAAAAGCTAACATTGTGGCAGACGCCCTAAGCAGGAAGGCTAACCACTCCCTCAACACCGCCTGGGTCCTACCCGACCAGCTGTACAAAGACTTCCAGAAGCTGAACTTGGAAATAATAGAGCTAAATCAAACCCACCTCGAGATCCACCTATTCAACACACAAATCATACCCACACTCTTCGAAGAAATCAAAATAGGACAGCAGCAGGATCCGGAACTAGATAAAATACGCCTCGACCTAACCCAATGGAAAGAAGGACCCTTCAAAATACACGAAGATGGCAGTCTCCGCTACCAAGGTAGGTGGTGCGTGCCCACGACGCACCCCCACCTAAAACAACAAATCTTGGAGGAAGGACACAACGCCCCATACTCGGTGCACCCCGAGGGTGACAAGCTATACCAAGAGGTGAAGAGGTCGTTTTGGTGGCCCAACATGAAAAAGGAAGTCGCAGATTTCGTGGCCAAATGCCTGAACTGCCAAAGGGTGAAGGCTGAATGATGCAAACCCAAGGGACTCGTTCAACCCCTTAAGATACCACAAGGAAAGTGGGATTCCATATCCATGGACTTCGTCGGAGGGTTACCCCCAACAAAAACCGGCAGGGATAAAATTTGGGTCATAGTGGACCGACTAACCAAAACGGCGCGATTCATTGCCATGAAGGAGACATGGACGGTGACACAACTAGCCCAAGCCTACCTAACCCGAGTGATGAAATACCACGGAATTCCCCGAAACATTGTGTCCGATAGAGACTCCAGGTTCCTCTCACAATTCTGGAAATCACTGCAATCGGCCTTGGGGACACTACTAAAACTAAGCACGGCGTTCCACCCCACCACTAACGGCCAAACCGAGAGAACCATTCAGACTCTCGAAGACATGCTGAGGGCCTGTGTGTTAGACTTCCAAGGGACATGGGAAGAACACCTACACCTCATTGAATTCTCGTACAACAACAGCTACCACGCAAGCATCCGAATGGCACCCTACGAAGCCCTATACGGACAAAAGTGTAGAACCCCCTTATGTTGGGAGGACATGGTCGACCCAATGACGCTAGGGCCCCAATACCTACAAGACACCATAACCAAGGTCAAACACATCCAAGAAAGGATGAAGGCTGCTCAGGACCGCCAGAAATCCTACGCCGACCTAAAGAGAAAAACAAGCCGAATTCAACCCCGGGGACAAGGTCTGGTTGAGAATCTCACCCACACGAGGGGTAATGAGATTCGGAAGAAAAGGAAAACTCAGCCCTCGATTTATCGGCCCTTATGAAATCATAGAAAGGGTCGGGAATCTAGCCTACCGCCTCGCTCTACCCATCGAACTAGAACGAGTACACAACGTATTCCACATATCCCAGCTAAAGAAATACGTGCACGACCCAAGCACGTGCTACAACCCGAGGTCGTGGACCTCGACGAGTCTCTAGCCTACGAAGAAAGACCTGTAAGAATCCTGGACACCAAGACAAGAAACACCCGTCGTCGGGCCATAGAAATGGTAAAAGTCCTTTGGACCAACCATGGGACCGAAGAAGCAACATGGGAACTCAAGGACACGATGAAGGAACGCTACCCCGAACTCTTCACACCAGGTAACCAAGAGGGAGTCGCTCGGCAAGAACCAAGCTTCGGGGACGAAGCTTCCCGTTAATGGGGGGAGAGTGTAACACCCCGTGTTACAACCCCTAAAACCAATTAATCATTTAACCAATTATCGAAAGAAAGAATTAAATTACAATAATTAATTTGGAAAAGGCCCACCATAGTCCGTGGGCCCTCTTCTCTAAACCCAACCCCTAGTCCTAAAATGAATAGAGTTAGCAAGCCTATGGTATTTGGACCCTAATTAGGACTCTTAGATATATAAATAGGGGACATAGGAGGCACCTAGAACCCCCACCACAATAATCCCTCACCACACAAGAAGTTCCAAGAATTCCCCTAAGAGAAATCAAGAAAGAAGAAAGCTTCAAGAAAGACCCTTCATAGCCAAGGAATTAATTAAGGCTAAAAGGTAACCCATGTCTCAACAAAACCTATTTTCAAAGCTATGATTCCCCTCTTAGGATTTCCCCCATATTCTTGTGTATTGATGATTCGTTATATTGTTCTTGACGATTGATGTTATGATTCCATGGGCGACCTTGATAATCTTGTTGATAAAAAGGGATTCTTGATGATTGTGTGATTCTTGATGAAACCTAGTTTCTTGATGATTATGTGCCATTCTTGATTGTTCTTGATGTTTAAAGAGGAATCGTGTTCTTGTTAAATTGAATGTGTCTAGAGCCCTAGGCCGTATCGTGAAATTCGTATGGTGTTATTCTTGATGTATTGGGTGGGAATTCGCATGTTCGGGTATTAATTATGTTTAGAAAAGCATGATAGGATATGTGCCGTATGTTTCTTGCTTTTGATCCGTTAATTGTCTACGTGTTGTTATCAATTGCGTTTGAAAGTGTCTAAGCATGGTTCCGGGTTCCACTAAAGTTCCGGGGGCGTTTTTGTGATAAAAGAGTCAGTGGGGGGTAGGGGACCCGCCACCTACCCGCGGCCAGCTTTGAAGTCACCGGCAGCGGGCAGCCGGCGGGCAGGCGACTGCCCGCCGGGCACCCGCTGCCCGGAATCACGATGCCGACGGGCAGCCGGCGGGTGACCCCTCACCCACCAGCTACCCGCTGGATTTTACCCCACTTTGGGATTTTGGCTTCCCCGTTTGATGTTCCCCTGACCCCCGTGGTGTCCCAACGGACTCCGTCTATCGTGCCTGTGTCTAGTTGATGTTCGGGTACCATTCGTAGGTTGAATAAGTCTTATATATTGCATGGTAGTGGAATTGGTATCCCGTTGACCTAGGCGTAAGAAGTATGAACCCCTTAGGATTATTCTTAGTATGTGAATGATCACGCATAGGTTTCATTATACGACTTCTTCCCCTTCCCAATGTGTCAATGTGGGATGCATGTGTTTGCTATGTGTTATGTGTGCATGATACCCCAATTCGGTTGCGATCGAATTGGTTATTCCTGAGCTGCGGTTCAGAAGCTGGCTGCGGTCAGATTTACAAACTCGGGCTGCGGTCCACCATTTGGTTGCGATCAAATGTTTTACATGAGCTGCGGTTCATATTCCTGGCTACGGTCAGATGACTACTCTTGGGCTGCGGTCCACTGTTTGGTTGCGATCAAACTATGATGAGCTGCGGTTCATCGGTCGGTTGCGATCGACCCCTCCGTGTTACGATACGGGGCAGGGTGCTGCGGGACCGTGTCAGAGCTATATGCGCTGACCCTTATGTATGGGCATGCGATTGGTCCGGTGGCGCCAACAAAGTGTGCTATGTGATGAGATTGGATGATTGGATTGTTATGAAAGCGTGACCATAGGATACATGCTAGTAACTGTATGTGCTTGTTTATGACTATTGGCTGTGCTTATCTCTATCTGTCGAATCTGTTCCCTACGCTTGTGAATTGTGCATGCTTGATTATGACTGTTGGTTGTGCTTATCCCTATCTGTCGAGTCTAATCCCCGTTTTGAAAGCTAGAGTCTCTTAGGATATATCTTCATGCTTCGAAATGGTTTTTCATATATCTATGTATATATCTATATGTATTGTATTTCAACGCGTTGGAATGGGTTACCAGCATCTCTCGCTGAACAGATATATTTAGCTTTCAGGCACAGAAGAGTAAACACTGGAGTGCGCTAGAACCGTGGAGCGTAGAAGTAGATAGCTTCCCCTTTCGGCCTGCGTGCCATGCTTATGCTTTTACCTTATTGAGGATATTAGTTAGTTAGCCTGTGCACCTGAGTTCTCTAGCTCAGGTGTGGCATAACACCCTGTACTAGTCATATTACGTTTTGGGATTTAATGAGAACTTACCTTTATTATATAAGTTTCAAAAGTTTTTAAAATTTCGGGGTGTTACAGCGGCAATTGTAGCATAAATCCTTATTTTCTTCGACTTTTTCTTCTTGTGATATGCGTGAGACGAATTTTCCACGAGCAGAATTTTTGTCATCTCCTTTTCGCATAAACCTTCTAAACTTTTTGACAAAAAGAGCAAATTGTTCGTCAGTCATAAAATCAACATTATTTTCTACTGACCTGGAGGTTGACGGTTGTTCGGCCATTAGAGCAGCATTTCGAGCTTCATGAACATCATCATCTTTGGCCTTCATTTCGAACTCATATGCTTTTAGATCACTAAATAATTTGTCTGTTGACAACATTCTTAGATCTCGGTGATCGCGCATAGCCGTAACCTTCATATCCCATGCAGATGGTAAGCCTCGTAGGATTTTGAGATTAATTTCTTTTTGGCTAATATTTTTGCCAAGATCATTAATCTCTCCAAGAACTTTGATCATTCGAGCTTCCATGTCTACAACACTTTCATTTGAGAGCATTTTGAAATCTTCAAACTTCTTCATGGTGATTGTGAGCTTATTGTCTTTTTCTTGTTCATCTCCTTCGCCAATCTTGATTAGAGTTTCCCATATTTCTTTATCAGTAGCACACTTTCGGATCTTCGGAAATATTGTGTCATCTACGGCTTTGAATAGAATATCCTTGGCAATATTGTCAAGATTATTCCGCGTTCTATCGTCCGATGTCCATTCCGGTTTTGGCATTTGTACGTACTGTGGAGCATCCGGGGATATAACAAATGCCGTATTGACTTTTAATATTTCTATAGGGCCAGTGGAAATAACTTCCCACATTTCATCGTGTAAAGCCGATAAGTGTACCTGCATACGAACTTTCCAATCATCAAATTTATCAAGTGAGAATAATAAATTTTGAGCTAAATCTTTCTTCATCATCATCACGAGAGATATGAAAGATTAATCCAATTCACACACTTTGTAGAATGGATTAGCCTAGCAGTCAAAAACAGTTAACCCAATTGGGCAACGTGTTTTAATACCAAAGGTTGGTATAAACTGACTCAAATAGGCTACAGGCTCTGATACCAATTGTTGGTCCAAAAAGAGGTAAGGTGAAAGTCTAGAGGGGGGGGGGGGTGAATAGACTTTCAAACTTTTTCGCACAGCACAACAATTGCTAAGCCAGAGATAAACCAAAACTCTTAACTAGATTGTTAGAGTATGGTGCACAGCGGAAATAAATAAACATAAAGTATGTGTGAGATTGTGTGAGCAGTATATCTCGTGTAGAGCGAATATGTAAAGAGTAGTAAGTAAAGAAAACAGTAAAGAACACAAGACAATTATAGTGGTTCGCGAGGTGGTGTAATCCTCCTACTCCACTTGCTCTTATCTCCAAGAGCAATTCACTATATCTACCACTCCTTGGTTCTAAGATACAATGAATTTCCGTGATCTAGTGCTTTGATCACAAAGCCCGCACTAATCACGCCCAGTGACACCACACTGCTGCTTCGGGTTTCACGTCGCCGCGCTACTATCCTAGGATTTCACGACTCCGCGTTACTTTCCCCCCGTCTTCCACACTCCGGTAGAAACGTATCCTGTGATCAAGTGCTTTGATCACAAAGCCCGCACTAATCACGCCCAGTGCCTCCGACACTGCTACTTCGGATCTCACAGCTCTGTGTGACAATCCAGGATTTCACAGCTCCGTGCTACTTTCCCCCCTTCTCTTGTTTTGCTCCAAAACAACTGTTGTCTTGCTTCCAACTTCTGAGACTCTGTAGATGATCTTCAATGATGCGCAGGTCTCTTTGATGAAGAATAAAACACTCTAGAATGATTTCTCTTGAATGATCTGAGTGTTTTCTCTCTTTGAGTGTATCAAGTAAAGCACTTGATTTTTATGCTCTGCTTTGCTCTGTTTTAAGAACTCTCAGAATATTTTTCTCTTGAAGCTCTCTGAGTTCTTTTTCTTTTCTCACTTCTCACTTGAAGATTTTTGGTATGCTCTGTAACAATTGAGATTTTTGCTCTATGCTCTTTTAGCTTAATTGTTCTATTCGATCTCCTTGATGAGTTCGTATTTTCTGCTCTCTTGTTCGTGAGTTCGTAAACTGCTCTATCTTCAAGTCTTCATATCTTCATCATTTTATAGCTGGTAATGAGAATCTGTCCATTGGAAAGAGACGCTCTCATTTTTGAAATCTGGTATCTTTTTGTCAGAGATCTTATCTTATCTTCTACAAAGATGTCAGAAAGGATAAGCTAGCTGTTTGAGATCTTCAACTCCATGCGAATGGTTTCCCAAACTTCATCTGATATTCCTCTGGTTTAACGTTGAGTGGGAATATCTGGGTGTAGAACGGCTTCTCTGATTAGCTCTGAAGTGGTCCTTGTATCTTTGGGATTTTAAAAATATTCTTCAATTTAGTCACATACTAGTTAAACTAGTATTTTTCCTTGTGAGAATATTTTCACTGTAAGTTCATCTTCATCTTCTTCATTCTCACGTCTGGGTGTTCTCAGACTTCAAATTGGCTTTGAACTTCCACCCAATTTGAATTTCTCCATTGTAATTGACACCCAATTTCAATTGACTTGTAATTGGCACCCAATTTGAATTTCTCCATTGTAATTGGCACCCAATTTTAATTGACTTGTAATTGGCTCCCAAACTTCTTGGCTCCCAGACTTCTCCTGGTTACTTCTCCTGGTGCTTTCAATTGCTTCCCAATTTGAATTATTGAATTTGACTTTGAAATTGGCTCTCAGACTTCTCCTGGTATTGAATTTTGTCTCAATTCAATTTGATCTCCCAATTTCAATTCTACATTGGCTCCCATCTTGAATTGATTCCCATGTGAAACTTGCTCCCAATTTCAATTGATTTCAATTTCTCTTAAACTAGCTCCCAATTTCAATTGCTTCGAACTACTCCCTGAAACTAGCTCCCAATTTCAATTGATTTCAATTTCGGCTCCCATCTTGAATTGATTCCCAAGTTTGTGAAACTTGCTCCCAATTTCAATTGATTTCAATTTCTCTGAAACTAGCTCCCACTTTCAATTGCTTTGAACTACTCCCTGAAACTAGCTCCCAATTTCAATTGATTTCAATTTCGGCTCCCATCTTGAATTGATTCCCATGTGAAACTTGCTCCCAATTTCAATTGATTTCAATTTCGAACTACTCCCTGAAACTAGCTCCCAATTTCAATTGATTTCAATTTCGGCTCCCATCTTGAATTGATTCCCATGTGAAACTTGCTCCCAATTTCAATTGATTTCAATTTCTCTGACACTAGCTCCCAATTTCAATTGCTTCGAACTACTCCCTGAAACTAGCTCCCAATTTCAATTTCTCTGAAACTAGCTCCCAATTTCAATTCCTATGAAATCAGCTCCCAATTCCTTTGTAATTGGCGCCCAAAGCCAGACTATAGCCCAACTCCATCAGATTTAATTAATTTTGGCTTCTCAAATTTTACCTTGTAAAATTGTTGATAGTGAGTTTCAAACTTGAGTCATTTCGCATAATATATCAAGCATCTTCCACTTCGTCCATATAACTATTGATTAAATCTCCAATAATCTTTCATGTACTCCTTTCTTTCCATAGATGCTTGATCTTCAAGTCAAATTCATGCAATCTTCCAATCTTAATTTTCTTCACGAAAATTCTTTTGGGATATCTTCTTTGAGTAGCATTGACGCGAATATTGTATCATTAATCTTCTTCTTCAATTTGTCATTTTCTCCAGACAAATTCTTGATTTTAGGCTTTATATCTTCTTCTTCTATTTTCATGCATCTTCCTCTGTTTTTCTCTTTTCCAATTTAAATAATTTCCCGATCATGGTCTAAGACTCTACTAGACCTATAGAAATAAAATTAGGGGATCTACAAATACATATTTGGCATATCAAAACCATTACACTTTATTCCTAACATTGAGAGTTTAGTATAATTTACCACCTTAGATATGTCATGAGGGGAGGACTTTACAACAGAACTTTGACACTCATAGTCCCCTAGGTAAGCTGGGGTATACTTCTGCCTGGTGGATATCCTGATTGCTAGCTGATGAGGCTGTTCTAGTGATTGCTCAACAATCTGAGACTGCTCAGGGCTATCAGCAGTGTGTGAGTTGTTTTGAGAATTGTCAGGCTCAACATATGACTGATCTTCAGGACTGTCAAGACTGTGAGGCTCAGGACTGTCAAGAGTAATATTGGATTGGCCTTGAGAGTCATCAAGATGGCCTGTTGATGTATCACATGGGAGAATGATCTGGGGAGGTTGCTTCTCGGGATGAGCAGTTAACTGAAAAGGAAACATATCTTCATAAAATTCCACATCTCTTGACAGAAACATCACTTTGGAGTATAGATCATAGAGTTTATATCCTTTAGTTCCATTGGCATAGCCCAAAAAAACACACTTCTTGGCCCTAGCATCAAACTTCAACTTTGGACCCAAGGTGGCAGCATAGGCTAAACAACCAAAAACCTTCAAATGCTGGTATTGTGGAACCTTTTTGAGCAAGACATGGCAAGGTATCTGCTGATTAATAGCAGCAGAGGGCAACCTATTTATGAGATAGGCTGCATGTAGAACACATTCTCCCTAGAAACTCTCTGGCAAATGTGCATGGAATCTGAGAGCCCTGGCCATGGATAGGAGATGTCCATGCTTTCTCTCAACCCTACTGTTCTGTTGAGGTGTGTATGTGCAAGATGTTTGATGCAGTATTCCTTCTTGACTAAAAAAATCAGACATGGGAAACTCTAGACCATTATCTGTCCTTATGTTCTTCATGTGCACTCCAAACTGATTCTTAACCATTTTACAGAATCCCACAACCAAACTTCTAACCTCAGATTTCTTTCTCATCAAATGTTCCCACACTGCCCTACTGTGATCATCTACTATGGTGAGGAAGTAATGATGACCATGAATGGTGGCAACTTTATAGGGACTCCAAATATCCATGTGTAGCAAATCAAAACAGGCAGCTGAAATGGAATTACTGGATTGAAAAGGAAGTCTCTTCTATTTTGCATAATGACAATAATCACAAATCAAACTTTTATTCACTTGAATTGTTGAGTCAACATTATGTAGCAACTGAATCTTGGCATGTGAGGCATGCCCTAACCTAGCATGCCACAAGGCCCATTTATTCAATATGGAAACAGTATTTACAGAAGGTCTAACAGGGAAAATCAAATGATATAAGCCATTCTTGAGTTCAGCCAACCCAATCATCTTTGTAACACCTCCCCCAAAACAAGCTATATAAAAAGCCTTAACACATGCAGATAACACAACAAAATACTAGCACAGCGGAAGATAGAAAGGTAACTGGATAAAAGCAAATCCAAACAGGGGTGTTATGCCACGTTTACCAATCAATGATAAACGCTACGGCGGTAAAATCTGCATTGTGTACACAACTATCCCAAAACCATAAGTCTATCACTACATCGTCTCACAGGCCAAAAGCAAAGGAAAGGTACTAAACTATTGGGCACTAGACATCGCGCTCGTCTAGACATTACCTGAAAGAACACAAAGATAAACATGGGACGACGCCCGGTCAGCGAATAATGCTGGTAACCAAGCAATACATGTGAAATAACATACATAGGTAAGATATAAGTTGTAAAACCATTTTCGAAACGGAATATATAAGTAGATAAATCAAAAACCAAGATCAATAGTCAACACAAGACTCAACACTCTCAACAAGAATACGGGAACACATCCCAAACCACAAAGGTTAATCACAACACAAAAGGTAACGACAAGACCATTGGCAACACATGCCTTTGTGACTACACACGTCACAAGAAGAGAACACACAACCACGGCTACACAAGCCCTCGTGACACCACTCATCACGAGTTGATATGCCTTCCT